GGTGTGTGTGTGTGTGTGTGTGTGTGTGTGTGTGTGTGGACAGCATGATAACAGGATTCCTTCATGTTGTGATATTCGAATCGTGAGTGGGTGCTCACGTTGACAACATGTATCATATAAGGAATGACAGCGTAGAATGCGGTTCAAATTTCCCGCCTATTACATGTGCGTACATAAGGTCGCCTTCGGTCACTGAACTTTGAACGTCCGGTCTATTTCTCTAATTTACGCACCAAACATATGTTTTATCCATACTAAGGACCTTCAAATCTCATTTCTTTTCTTAAAGTTTTGAGGTTTCTCCCATAGTTCCACAACGGCGAAAGAGAGGTCAATGTTTGTTAAAATGGCGGTCAGGTGTTTATTTTCCCGATGGATGTATTTTTGTCAGATTTTAGCGGTAGTATCGGGAGATATTGCTCAAATTACGGATTCTGTGTTTTAGTTGGGTTTGTTCTAGAGTTATAATGATGTTGTCGGCGAAGATCAGAGAGGTTCCTTCTCACCTTACCTAGGAAGGCATTGAGATGGAAATTAAAGGCCATGGCCCTATTGTTTTTGTCCCAGGCGCAAAGACGGTTGCTCCGTGCCCATTAACCAAGATACTGGTCCGACGACAAGGTTTTTCGTTGGCAGTTCAGGGTATTTTTCCTGCCGAATATATATAACCAGTATACATCCGTATATATCAGCGAAAAGTTTGCATTCTTCCGCAAGTCATTTAAAGTGAACGCCTCCATCTTACAACTTTATATCCATCGAGACTAACAACGAAGAGAAGTAAAAGCTAAGTATTGCGGCAGCAAACAAAAATAAAAACTTCACCGCCGTAAGGCCATGTTTTGCAAGCTTTTTAGGTTATTTGTGCCACAGGTAACGAAACAATTCGCACCGTGCAACCGTACCGAAAGCGTCGGTTGGAACGAGGAGCTCCTTGGAGATGTGATGATAACGTATATTCTACATAAAGTTTTCTTAACTCAAATTACATATATTTCTTATGTGAAAGTCTTATCCATTGGCAAGGTTTTGTTCCAACATGTTCATAAGTCCGGACAGTCTCGCGAGAATTTCCTGGTCAATTCACTCAGATGGTAGTGACCATCTGAACATATGACCTTCACCTTAACATAGGATTTGCATAGTGATGTTACCTTTAACTAACATACATATGTCACAAATATGAAATGTCCATCATTTATACCTTTAAGAAATCATAGCATGTTGTATTGATTGTGCAAATTAGGTGTTTGTTTGCATAATTCGTCTCTGTTAATGTTCCATGTGCCATAGATTACATACATGTACATGTATCAAAGCCTATAATGTACAATGATGTTTTTTTAATTCACTCATTAGTTATGAAAATTGAGTGCTCGTTTACATAATCCACAATTAATTCAATTGTCTACATCTCTGTCCAAGCTATCTACATGCCAAAAATCATGAAAACTCGTCGTTTCCTTCTTGATTTATCCGCTTTCAAAGATTTTACTCGAAACTCCCCTGCAGTTCCAGGTAAAGCTGCTAGGGGAACCAAACCCACACCACTTATTCCTTACAGGAAGAGCTATCTGTCACCAAAAGGTCAAGGCCAGAGCATGTTCAGGACAAAAGATACAAAAACCGGAAGGCCCGTTGCAGTACCAAGAGTCCCAGATTTGACGATGACCTTTGCCTTCCTTAAGAACTGCCAACATACCAAATATCATCAAGGAACAATCCGAAAAGGTGTTCTCAACTTGTGCTGACCACAGCTATGCAGAAACACACACAGGCAGACAGACAGACAGACATGCAGACAGACAGACACAAAGACAGGCCGAAAACAATACCTACATACGGCAAGGGGTTATATGTGAAAGTGTGAAACAAAATGGCGTCGATTTGTAAACAAGGAGGGAACCGGTCTAATCCAGTTCTGTTATAAAACAACTCTTGCTTCAGCCATCATGGTTAGGAGTGGGTTACGGCTGGCGTTCGGCTGGGTCGAATGGCGTTGGGGGTCGGGATGGTTCGGCTACGGTTCGGTTGCACCAGCCAAATGTTTTAAAAATGTTTCAACATTCGTGAGGCTTACGGGAGGTTCGATCAAAGTCGGCTTGTTTTCGACCGGGAAGACTCGCATATGAAAGGATAAGTTCGCGGGAAAAAAACTGCCGCTCAAGGTGTGACCAAACCGTTTCAAGTGCCCGTCCGCTAAAGCTCAGCTCTTGAAAGAATGATTGACATCGAGTTCTCATTAATATTCATGAATTGCCAGTAAGGAATTTTGATCCCCCATTTGGACCACCATAATGCCCACAGATACGTTCGATCACTACCAATGTCTGCTTAGCTTTATTGTTAATATGGGTACTCTTACTTAGGCTAGAGGTTAGTGTGATCAGTACAGAGCTTAAATTTATTTGTACATAATGTAATTGTCCTATCTGTAAGATAATAGCAGACCAAGGAGGTTAAAAATCTCTTTGAGCAGACGCATGTACAATCTGGTATATCTATATATCTAATGCTCATAAAATTGTATATTACTGTTAGCCAAAATATTCAACATGTTAACATGCTAACATGTTAACAAAATTAAATGCAAGTGCTGTATAATTTATGGTTTGACTGAAATACAAAAACTACCTAAACATGTGTAGTCACGGTGATTCCTTGATTTGCATACTCTTTACCTCATTCCAGAGTGCAAATCTACAAACATGAAAAATACTTGATAATCAATAAAAAAAGCTGAAGCACAAATCAAAGTAATAGTAAGTAACTGTTTGGCACAAACCTGTCCTGGACGTCTTCTTGATTCTGGCTTTAATTTCTCACGAACTGTCCTCTTGAGGGTCAATCTTGCAGTTTCCTTACTATCAATGTTTTCAATGTCTACTCCTAGTTCTTCAAGAGTTGCAATCAGTGTCTTCAAGTTCATCTTATTTATCTCTTGCTCAATTACGTTAAACTTTGATTCTGAGGCCGAGCTTAGGGCAGCAGCCATGATTGGGCCTGCAGCGCCTTAACGATTTATATACCTCTGAAAAAAAGATTCACCACATTGGTTAAGAAATGTAATTCATATCTGATGGAAATAATTTCAGCACCCTGGACTCAAAACTCTCAAATGGTGGACAAAATCAATAATTAGAAAATATGTATTGTCATTGCTGGGGTCCCCGTTCAGCCCAAATGTAATCAAAGTCTGCACGAGTGGAGGTAATCTAAACTGCATTATCGTGATAGTCCTGCTGAGGTCCAGGATAAAGGGCAAGTCTTAAAACTTAAGCAACTGGTGCAAGTTCGTCATAGTTAGCAGGGCTCAAAACACTAATAAGTTTTTCAATTAAGATATCTCCATTGACAAATTGGAATTTGTGATTTGAAATTTGTGGTCATAAAAGAGGGTGACAGAGAGATAAATAACGAATAGCATACCACCTTAGACTAACTTGTTGGATGAAAGAAAAATCGTAATCATCAAGCCACCAATTGTTTCTACGTCCACCAACCCGTTTATAATGATAACTACTACTAGTACAGAGAAATACCCCATCATCATCATCATCATCATCGGTCGACCCCATCATAAACATTACTAAACTCTGGGTTAGACATGGCAAGGCGCTAGAATGGAATTTTGATATCTGAATTCAAATATGTTTATAAGCAAACATTTATATTGAGTGCACAAGGATTTGTTAATTTTTAACTTTTAGACGCCCTCTCTCGCTCATGGTCGCTTGCTCCCATATTGGGAGCGTGCCGCCTCGGCAGATGGTTCTCCAGTTGAATTTGTCCCGGCTACCCCCAACGCCGTGTTGAGGCTGACAGCCATAATTTTTTTTAGATCAATCTAATTTCTAATTTCTTTAGAAATTTTTTAAGAAATTAGAAAATAATTTCCACATCTAAGCTGACCGATGTTCAAAGGAAATGTGTACAGAATCGTAACAACCCACCTGAGATGCAGCTACAAGAACTTTCTTCAGGTGACAGTTCACATCCAAGGAAAACTTCTGGAAGGTTGTTGGATCTGTACTTGACTCGAGAAGGGCGTACTCCAAAATGCTGGCGTGGCCTGGCTTTTGAAAAACAACTGGGCAAAGTTTACTTTGACCTTTGAACGTCATGTGTGAGAAAATGCTGATGTGACATACACCTGCTACAGCTCTATTGGTGGATATTTATAACAAACAGGGATGAACCGTTATTGCATACCAGGGGAGGGGACATATCATCGGCGTCCTTCCGTCTCAGTAGACGATGGGTTTGGTCCAGGAGGGACCCGGCACCTTCTGTGGCAGATATGTAGCAGTTAAATGTGGGCATTTTTATTGGATTAGCACGTCGGCAGAACGTACTGTTAGTTATCAGGACTCTATTTCGGACTGGCACTTTACTGGGCCCACTTGTGTTCCTAGCCATGATCAACGATGCAAAACCCTCCACCAACAGCCCACACTGGAAGTACGTGGACGACATGAACTTGGGAAAAGTTAGGACTGCGTCAACCCTAACAAACCTTCAGACTGACCTTGACTCCTTGGACACTTGGGCCGAACTGAACTCCATGTTACTTAACCCCAATAAATGTAAAGTAGTGTACCTTTGCTTCAAGCTTCAGAGGTCAGCCACTTAGCATACATACACAAGCAAAGTTACATAGCTTGCACATACGCTCTGACCTACGGTGGTCTGACCAAGTGTATGGTGTCCAAGGGTAGTAGAAGGTTATTTTTCCTGAGTAGGTTACGTCGGGCGGGCCCCCGGATCCCTAGCTCTGACCTTGTTATTGTGTATTGTGGATATATTCGACCAATAGTTGAATATGCTACGCCCTGTTGGAATGCGGGGATCACTAAAAAACAATATTCTGACAGTATAGAAAGAATCCAGAAACGGGCCTGTAGAATCGTAGTGGGTAGAAACTACCGCTCGTACTCTAAGACCCTGCAAACGTCTGTCTGAACGCAGACTGACCCTGTGTCGGGTCTTTGCCCTCTCAGCTACGGAGTCTAGGCACGCCCCCTGGCTTCCTCCAGTTAGTAACCACTCACACAACATGCAATAAGGCAAACACGGTGCCCCGTTCCGACCATGTGTATGCTAAATATTCTGATTAGTTACGTTTTATCTTATTTGTTTACTATGCATATATGTAATATTATCCTATCATTGTTAAGTAATATTAATGTACTTTTAACATGATCTGTATTAGTCTAGCGCACAGGTGATGTTATGTATATGTTGAGCAATACATTTTTATTTGTGTGTACTCTAGTTGACTAGTAATTGTAAAAGCTGCTTAATTCAGCCTCTAGACTATTCTACAAAACGCGCATCCGGTTCGGAGGCCTGCAGGAGGCTAATAATATCTGGCTTCCAGGCGTGCTTTCTTCTCACGCGGCTGCTCGAGCTCAGCCCCATCTGCCCGCCCGCACTGAAGACAGGAAATTAGACAAATTAACACTTCATTATAGCCGGCAGGAGCACTGCAAGTAGGTCTCCCGGGACCATACTTACAACATCAACACTGTAACATGGTCCGGACGCTTTGTCGTTTTATCTAGCCTCTACCAGGCTTCGGGAAAGAGTATATATTGGCCAAACAGATAATTTCGGTCCAGGAGTGGCAATATGTTCTATTAGCACAGTGACTACATGTACGTATACCTCGGCATATCATCTGTCTATTCAGCCAATTTCTACTCTTTCTAGCAATTTCCCGAAGCTAGTTTTTATCATAGTTTTTCCGATACTTGGTTTCCAGTATACCTGAGACAAGGGGTGGGAGGGGTTTAGTCGTGATGTGGGAGACTAAACACAACCTAACCCCAATCGTAAGCCTAACCCTGAACAATGATTCTAACCCTAACTCTAATACCAACCCTAACCCTAGCCCTAAACACCTGACCTCTCACGTATGTGGCAGCTCAAGGATTTGGCTCAACACTAATCTCCAAGCAGATTTTTGGTGGGGGTAAGACAGTATCAAATTGGCCAGTCTGTAACCATTACCCCACCCAAGTGGCGGTAGCGACAAAAAAAAAGCAAATATAAAAAGCAAACGATCTTCCACCATCAACCTCTGCTTGGAGAGTAGCTCAACACCGGTTTCCGTCCGTCCCCTCAACACAGCCTCTTGCGTCACCTAGCGACCGTCGCCATGGCAACTGCATCCACACGTCTAAGTGGACGCTGCCCTCCACCTTCTCGCATTCCACCTGCGTAGGTGGACGGGACCGGACGGACCTCGCCGCGGGCTATCAACAGTCTGCCGCCCGTACAAATCGTGATCGCTCCGATCCTTCACAAATCCCCGAGCAAACGGCGTTAGTGTGAGGGAAAATCTTCTTGCTTTGCCCGGTTGAGAAGGAAACAGGAAGCGGCTGAGCCCGCAGAGCACGGTGGAAGAGGAGGTCTTCTCTAGTCGCTAGGATTAAGTCAGGTAAGCACACGGATTTTACCTCCTGCGTCCTCTTGTAACTCACGTTTTTATTAGGTTATAAGTTCAAGGACATAACTTGTTAGATTCGAACAAACGTCCATTTTAAAGATAGAAGGAAAGACATACATGGGCAGAAAAGAAAAGCTAAAATTAACGTTTAGAAATCGTTTTATTTTTCTATCACAAATACGTTTCCGTAAATGCACGTATTTAGCCATGTTTCTCCACCATTTTCATAATGATTCTAATGGCTAAAATTAACGTTTAGCAAGCGTTTTATTTTTCTCAAATACGTTTCCGACAATGAATACGTTTTCCGTATTTAGCTATGTTTCTCCACCAATTTATAATGACTCTAATGGCTAAAATCAACGTTTAGCAAGCGTTTTATTTTTCTATCACAAATACGTTTCTGTAAATGCACGTATTTAGCCATGTTTCTCCACCATTTTCATAACGATTCTAATGGCTAAAATTAACGTTTAGCAAGCGTTTTATTTTTCTATCACAAATTTTTATAATCATTTATGGCTCTAATCTAAGCTAAAGAATCTGGAAAGTACTGCATGTGCATTCAGACCTTTCTATCCTATAGACTACATTTGTATCACAGTCATGGAAATACAATGTACTGTACTATGGCGGCCCACCTAGGCGATATATATATAGCTGGTATATGGTACGTATTTGAGTGCCATGCCTCATAAACATCTGGTGATGAAGTTAGTCTTCTTTGATGCAATTAGGCCACGCCACATCTTATATGCGTCAGAAAATCCCCAAGGTGCCGGCGGATGACGCTCTAGATAACATGAAACTTCGTTCAAGCAATCAGCCTATATATAGCTAGTTCGTAGAAAGGATCTTTTGTGTATTCACTTTTTCTCGTTATTTTTATCGTATACAAGCCTCGTCTCATTACCTTGCTTTCAAAGATGTTTTTGTCGTCAGCATTCGGTTAAAATCATCTCCTTCCCTCGCTAACGGCTCCTAGCATGCCCGCCATTCTTCTTCAGAAGCTAGTTAGGCCACAGCATGTAAATTTTATGGATGACATCCTCCACAGACTCCAAATCTAATGCGAGCGGCCGAAAACAAAACAAGGCGGGCAAAAAAACAAGATTCCTTCATTTTCAAATTTTGACAACATAAACCTCGTTAAACGAGAAATAATGCCTAAATTGTGCTAAGTTTACTGCCAGCTACTACAACATCCATTTGTCATTGAAATAACACTGAAAAATAAGTTTTCATTCATTGTACAAATGGTTTTCATTCAGGCAGAACATCACATATACACAGCCACCGTCACATATTGAGGAATGAAATACTTACCTGCATCAACGTAAAAGACAAAACATTAAATCAGAGCCTTTTCTTGTCTCCTCTCTTCATATTTATCTACCATCCCTTCATAGTTATCCGCCATCCACCTTCCGACATGGCAACAGACATCTTTGCCCATTTTCGGCATGTTGATCACTGTCAGAGGGCAACAATTTTTTTTCCAAAATCAGGCGAAAATTAATGCGCGCGCTAATGCCATCCACAAAATTACTTGCTGTGGCCTCAGTGCAGCAAGCAAAAACATGGAGTGCACATTCAACCAGTGGAAATAAAGTGTGGGCTTCAATAAGCAATTAATGTTCCTAAGCAACGTCCAAAACACTCGCCATGCCAACTAAAGTCGTACATTGTGCATGAGCACTCATTGACACACGGAGCACGTCAAACATTCCGTTTTTACAATAGTTCGTTGGTCTTTTGTAGATTGATCTACCTTTATTCAGTTTTTAATATCTGAACTACAGTATTGATAGTGTTGTACAGATGGTTATATGTGTTCATGCTATACTATTCCTTATAGTCCGGTTGCCAAACCCCCGATTTTTGAAGAACCTTGCAATGCGGTCCATACAAAGTTTTTTTGTTGTTTCTATATCTCTGAGGTGTGCTCTTTCAGAATCTGAATGATGCCACTCTGTCATCCTTGGGCAATTCGCACAATATGCAAATTAAGGTGGCCATTACTGAAAATCCAGTTTTCGTCAATATCTCAGTAACTACTCATGGTATCAGAATAATTTTGGTGTCTATCCCCATGTTTTGAGGGATAACGAATTAAATCAAGCCATTTCAGTAAAGATAGAACCATTATTATTTGCTACATATGCAAATTTGGGCCTTGTCTGTTATTGACGCACCTGGCTGCCAGCAAGGAGGGGTCCTAATTCCGACCCATGTTCCATGCAAACGCACATGCCTTGGTATAGTTTATCTGACCCAAAACCTGTTCAATATTGAAAGACAAGTTTACCTAAGTCTAGATGGCAGACGTCTTCTAGCATGAAACGCCGCTTGCGTATGATTGTAGACACTGGCTGTTGGTTAGCTCTGGCTCATATATCTGTGTTGGGTATGAAGTCCTGTCGTCTGATGCTTAAGATCTTCCTCACGCATTCACTATCAGAAGCATGCAGTGATTCCAGTCTCTTTTCTCTTTTCTTGGCTGATTTCCACATAGTAGGTTTCAAATTCAAGCTGGTTGAAGGCTGCTGAGGCCTTTCCAAGTCTACAGTCTAGCTCATTGTCCATCTGTCCTTTGTTGTTGG